CACTCGAGACAGGCCCTCGAGGCGCCAGACGGCCCAAGAGCCCTTCAAGACAGCCCAAGAGCGCTCCGAGATGGCCCAAGGGCGCTCCACGACAGCATTGTTATCGTTGTTATCACTGTTATCGTTGTTAGCGTTGTTAGCGTTGTTATCGTTAGCGTTGGTATCGTCATGATCGCTGTTACCGTTGTGATCGTTATCGTTGTGATCGTCGTGATCGTTGCTATCGTTGCTACCGTTGTCATCGTAGCCCAAGGCCTCTGGAGGCCCCAGCGGCCCGCAAAAGAGCCCCACGACAGGCAAAAAGAAAGCCTCGGAGGGACCCTGCACAATGTTTCTCCAGATGTTCCCTCGGAATCCGGGGAAGTACAGTCGGGGCCTTGACCTAAGGAACCAAAAATAAGGAACGTGCTAAGATCTCCGGTAACTTGTTAACAATATTTCTAGTTCGCGCGCGCGGAGCGGCCCCTGGGGGCCCCCGGACGAAAAGTACCCCGGCAAGGTCCCGAGAGAAGCCCGGGAGAAGCCACCAGACCACTCCAGGGGAAGGTATTTTTCGACACCCCTCACGAGGATCGTGGCCTCCGAGGGGGGAGCCGCAATCGACTACCCCCAAGAGCCCCCCAAGAGGCCCTGGGGGCCTCCAAAACGCCGCCAAGGAGCCCCAAGATACTCCCAAGAGGTCCCCAAGAGGCCCCCAAGAGGCCCTAAAGAGGGCTCCAGGGCCGGCGGCATGAGCGAAGCGATTAAATAAGGAACGAGGCCCCTTTTTTTCCATAAGTTTAACTTCGATTTCCGATCGAAGACATGAGGAAAGCCCGAAGCAAGCTGCGAAACACTTAAGGAACGCGGAGCCCCTCCCCAACGAAAAGGGTTCCTTCTTCAGGGCCCCGACTGTACGCAGTCCGCTGTCGTGGCCGCGCGTTCGCTCGGCACGTCACGGCACGGGCTCGGCGGCGGCTCGCCGCCGGCGTCGTCGATGAGGCAGCCCCGCGGTCGCCAGTGACACGTCGACTGCCCTGTGAGACTCCTGCGCGGCTGCGCGGCCGCCAGGGCGCGACGTGGGCGGAGGGCTGTGGGGGCGCCTCCGTCGCCTCCCAGAGCTTGGCCTCCAGGTCCTGCATGGTGGTCACCACCTGGCAAGAGGAAGGCACATCACGCCTCGTCCTGCACATCGTGCTGTCCTCCCTCCTCGTCACCACCATCATCAGCAGCAAATTCCCGCTCACAGCCCTTCTCCTCATCCTCCTCATCATCAGCAGAATCATCAGCATCATTATCAGCATCATCACCCTCATCCTTATCCTCATCCTCCTCCTCCTCCTCCTCATCATCATCATCATCAGCATCAGCATCAGCATCATCATCATCAGCAGCATCAGCATCAGCATCATCATCATCATCATCATCATCGTCATCATCATAAGCATCATCATTGGGATTGTCAACATCATCATCATCATCAGCATCATCATCAACATCATCATCAACATCATCCTCATCATCATCATCAGCATCATCATCATCATTATCATCATCATCATCATCATCATCAGCATCAGCATACTCATCCGTATCTCTTACCCTCACCCCTCCGCCATGACCAGCTCCTCCTCAGCCTCCTCATGTGCCCTCCAGTGCCTGCTGCTTCTCCTCCTCCCCCTCCTCCTTCCCCTCCTCCTCCCCCTCCTTGTCCTCACAAGTCGTGGCAAGCATAACAAAAGCCCAACCATCGCCAATCGACAAGCGGTCGACGGCGGTACTAACGGTAAAACTCGTCGCGATCCTCTTCTACAGCACCCTCCACCCCCCCAGCAGACGGGGGGGCGGACGGGCGCGGGGGGAGCAGGGGGAAGGGAGGGCATGGTCGGGCAAGGGGGGCGCACGGTCGGTCGGTCGGTCGGTCGGAATAGCAAACGGAACGGGGGCAATGGGGCGGAGGGGAGGGGCGCGGTCGGTCGGTCGGTCGAACTGAGCAGACGGGGGCCACAGGGCGGAAGGGAGGGGGCACAGTCGGTCGGTTGGTCGGAATAAGCAGACGGGGGGCCGCGGGGCGGAGGGGGGGGGGGCAACGGACGGTCGGCCGGTCGGAGTACGCAGACTGGGGCCACGGGCGAAGAGGGGGGGGGGGGCACGGTCGGTCGGCCGGTCGGAATCAGCAGACGGGGGCCACAGGGCGGAAGGAGGGGGCACGGCCGGTCGGTCGGTCGGAATAAGCAGACGGGGGCCGCGCGGCGGAGTGTGTCGGGGGGGGAGCAGGGGGACGGGAGGGCACGGTCGGGCAAAGGGGGGGCACGGTCGGTCGGTCGGTCGGAATAGGCAGACGGGGGGCCATGGGGCGGAGTGGTGCGGGGGGGCAGGCAGAGCACACGGGGGCAGCACGCACCCATGCCACACCTTAGCATTTATCCCAGCACACGAAGCCAGCACACATCCCAGCACGTATCCCAGTACTCGGAGGCAGCACACAGCCCTTCACATATCCCAGCACATAAAGGCAGCACGCGTCCCAGCACACATCCCAGTCCATCGCACATCCCAGGCACGGTCGGTCGGCGGGTCGAAATAATGCAGTGCGAGAGCACACCGGTAGGTATGATAAGAAACTCCCGCCACTAGGGGCCTGCCAGAGAGGCAGGATTCGATTAGAGCTGGATCGAAGCTATGATAGAATCCAGCTCTGAAATAATCCATGGAGCACTAATGAAATCTAATACAAAGGCTCGGTCAAGCTCGAATCTAATCCTGCTACGACTGCGTCCACCTCTAATGGGATCCTACGAAGGACCCGATCCAGCTCTTATCGAATCCTGCCTCGAAGGCTGGATCCAACTCTGACAGAATCCTACGAGGGCCCGGTCTAACTGATCCTACTTTGGTCTGGACGCACCTTTCATAGGGTCCTAGTAAGGCTCGACCCAGCTTTAGCAGCATCCCACTGGCGCTCACTCGCCGTCGTCGTCGTCGTCGTCGTGGTCGTCGTCATCGTCGTCGCCGTCGTGCTAGCGATCGTGGTGAAAGTCGTCGTCGTCGTCGTGGATCCCACAAGCGCTCAGTCGTCGTCGACGTCGTGGTCGTCGCCGTCGTCGTGGCCGTCGTGCAATCGCGGTCGTGGTCGTGGTCGTGGTCGTGGTCGTGGTCGTGGTCGTGGTCGGCGCCGTCGTCGCCCCACCCCCCCGCTGCCCCCTCTGGTTTGACCCCCCGGCGGGGGGCCTCTGAACGCCCCCCCCCCCGGTTCGAACTCGGGGCAAAAGGGGAGGTCCGTCCCGCATGTGGGACCAATCCCAACCGACTGGGACCAAGTACGACCGACCGGGACACTTCTCAACTTTGGACGCCCGAAATGGGCACGGAAAGAATGGGTACAATGCCCAACAACAAATGTTGTCCCAAACCAACAGCGGCCGCTGTTGGGCAGGAGGCCTCCTGTCTCGAATGGACACAGGCCGCAGCGGCGCGGACAGCGAGTCCTGTTCGAAATGAACAGGAACTGCTGTTGGGCATTGTACCCATTATTTCCGTGCCCATTTCGCTCGTGCAGATCAACGGGCCAAAAAACCAACTGGGACCAGTTACAACCAGCCATTTCCGGAACTCATAACAACACGTATCATTTCAAAACAACAACGTACATCAAAAGCAAGAACACACATTCGCAAAACACCGCCGCACATCTCCCACTTCAGCTTATCTCGAAAGCCCGACATAGCACCATCTATGTCATCGGCCGTTTTTCCCCCTCCGTTCCTGCCTTTCCCTCCTCCGGTTCCTCCTTTTCTCCCTCCTCCTCCTCATCCTCATATCCCTGGTGCCGCATTCCTCGCCCTCAGTTATCTGGCAGCACGGTGGAAATCCAAGCGTGTGTTGGCCGTCGATACCACCGCCGCCCTCATAAGACAAGGAATCTTCAGGGGACTGCAACCTCCTCGGCACAATCCTTAACCAACGCCTCACCGAATAGGTCGGGAGAATCTGCAGACAACTACAGCAAAACAAAGAAAGGCAGCAAGAGCTGGATGCTGCAGAAATGAACGGTAATAGGAAGAGACGAAACTACACATCTGATAAGATCTCCGCATTCTGCCCTGGAATTCCGGTTTTCTTACAGCTGCGACGAAAACTCTGACTCTGATCTGGAAACTGTTTTTCTTAACGTCGGAGGATCGCGCCGCAAGAACGAAGCATCGCAGCTGCATCGGCGGTGCGTCGGCGGCGTCAGCGATGCATCGGCGACGTCAATGTGGAGAACATCGGCAAGGGGTCGTGCGACAGCGTTCGCTCACCGACTGCTGCATGAGCAACAGTGTGCAAGCGAATACTTTCAGCGACAGCCATCGGAGGGGCAGCGGCGGCGGCGGCAGAGGGCAAAATAAAGTGTTCGGCCACGCTCTCCCCGCGACGGGTTCAGGGACCCCCAGAGCCCTGGAGGGCACGAAACGCTTCCATTGGAAGAAACCTGCAGGAATCCGTCGGAATCCAAAGAAACCCGCAGGAATCCTTCAGGAATCTAAGGAGCCCCTAAGGAAGCCTCTAAGGAGCCTCTAAGAGATTCGGAAGCCTCCAAGGAGCCTCTAGGGAAGCCTAGCCTCTGAGTAACCTCTACGGAACCCGCTAAGGAGCTTCTAGAGAAGCCTCTAAGGAGCTTATAAGGAAACCTCGAAGGAGCTTCTAAGGTAGCCCCGAAGGAGCTTCTAAGGAGCTTCTAAGGAAGCCTCTAAGGAGCTTCTAAGGAAGCCTCTAAGGAAGCATCTAGGGAGCCTCCAGGGAAGCTTCTAAGAAGTTTAGAAGGAAGCCTCTAAGAAGTTTAGAAGGAAGCATCGAAGGAGCTTCTAAGGAAGCCTCTAAGTAACTTCTAAGGAAGCCTCTAAGGAATGTCTAAGGAGCTTCTAAGGAGTTTCTAAGGAAGACAAAAAAGGAACCTCTAAGGAAGCCTCTACGGCGCTTCTAAAGGAAGCCTCTAATTAGCCTCTAAGGAGCCTCAAAAAAGCCTCCGTAAGGAACCATGAAGAAACGTTCCGAAAATCTTCTAAAAGCTGAACAGACGATTGCAATTTGTCCCAATGGGTTGGGATTGGGACCGACATAATTGGAATCCGTCCCAGTTGGTTGAGTTTCGTCGAAGTTTCGGTCCGTCCCCCCCCGCGGTTCGGAATGGGAAGATGTTTTGCCACCCCCCACCCCCTGGTTTCAATTGGGGGGGAAGGGCTTGCCAATGGCGGCAGAAAGCGCAGCTTCGAATCTCCCAGAAAGAACTCACCACACGGTCCGTCACCGCAATGTTCTGGGGACCCTGGAGGCCCCAGCCGCCCGAGGCGTCCTCGAAGAACGGCCCGAGTCCCAAACCCGTGCGATCTCCCCGAATTCCCACTGACTCACCGCACGTTGCGGCTACCGCACCGCATTGGAAGTCCCCCCGCCTCCGGAGGAGTTCCTTGAGCCTTCCCCGAAGCCACAGAGAACTTCTCGGAAGGCGCGAGGGCTCCTGCGAAGCCCCGCCGCCTTCTGAGAAGGCCTTCTCCCTCTCACGTTCCCAACCCCCTCCTCGATCGCCGTCGGAAGGAGGCCCCACGAGCCGGAGGCAGGGCCGCTGCCCCGGCAAATGGGACAGGGACTCCGCGATGCGGCGGCTGGCCACCGAGAAGGACGAGAAGGAAGAAGCGGGAAAGCGGCGAGGAGGAGGAGGAGGAGGAGGAGGAGGAGGAGGAGGAGGAGGAGCGGGAAGGCGGCGGCCTGTGGGGGCGCCGCAACACGGGAGCGTAGGGCATAGGGCTCGAGCCAAACAGGGCCTACCGTGTTCGCTGTGTGCTCGCTCTCACTCGTCCTGTCTTCTTCCTCCTCCTCCTCCTCCTCCTCCTCCTCCTCCTCCTCCCCTCCTCCCCCCCTCCTCCTCCCCCTCCTCCTCCTCCTCCGCCTCCTCCTCCCCCCCCCCTCCTCTCCTCCTCCCTCCTCCCCCCCCCCCTCCTCCTCCCCCCCTCCTTTTCTCCCCCCTCCTCCTCCTCCTCCTCTCCTCCTCCTCCTCCTCCTCCTCCTCCTCCTCCTCCTCCTCCTCCTCCTCCTCCTCCTCCTCCTGCTCCTCCTCCTCCTCCTCCCCCTCCTCCTCCTCCTCCTTGGCTTTGCGCTCGCCCTCCCTCGCTCTGCCGTCGCTCCGCCCTCGGTGCACGACGAGCTCCGCACGGCAGCGGCCGACCACATCGCCCAAAGCACGGTGCGGCTCCAGCCTTGTGGATGCCACGACAATGGACACTCTAACAATCCGATCATTGAGTTTAAAGATGTGCTTATACAAGGTGTAAAACATGTCATAAGCATGTTTCAAGCATGTTTCAAGCATGTTGAAAACATGTTTGAAACATGTTGTAGACATCTGGCAAGTATTTGGCAACGTGTTTCCTCTCCATTGATCGTCCTCCACAACTCCAGCCCTGGCGCAGGGGAGGAGAGTGGCGGGAAGGAGGCGAGCAGGGGCCCAGGACAGCCTCCGTCGTGCCCCTTCTTCTTTCCACGGCGTGGCTCCCCAGAGGCCGGTCGCCCGAGGCGGGCGCGGAGAGGCTGGGCGGGATGCCCGACGGCAGGCGCTGCCGAGAAGGCCGAAAGCGGCCGCCGCTGGGCAGGCGGCCTTCTGCCTCGAATGGGCCAGGACCGCGGCGACGCCGACAAGGAACCCTGTTGAGCATGAACAAGACAAGCTCTTGGGCTGTGCAGCCATTGCTTCCGTAATTACCCATGTCGATCGTCCAGGCAGGAGGTCTGGACCTCCTCCCCGGGACAGCCGTTTCATCCCGCCGAGTCGGTTTGAGAAGGTCCCAGGGCCAGGCAACAGGGCCCCCAGGGACCAGAAATTGCTCGAAACTGCCCGTCGCGTATCAATCGCAACGAGAGGCGGGGGCTGGAGGCGACCAGGAAATCTGAACTGGATGGACCCCGAGAAAATCTGTCAAGAAGGAGGAGAGGTCAAGGCGAATCCGCTCAAATTGATCCCCGGACCACTCCGGGTGTCCATCGGGTGCAGTTCTTCATCCCCAGTCCGTTTTTGGCGGCCTCGGAATCTCAAAACGGCCCCAAGAGGCCGAAAGAGCAACAAATATTCTGGAACCCTGTGGGCCTGGGCCTCCTAGATGGGGTTGGGGTAATTAGATGGGGTCGGAGGCTCGCGCCGCATCGTCGATGCCTTGGCGATGCGGCTCGATGTGGAGCCCGATTTTCTTCGCGCTGGCGTCGACGATGCGCCGCCGACGTCGCCGATGCATCGCCGACGCATCGTCGACACACCGCCGATGCATTGGCGATGCTGCGCGATCCTCCGACCCCATCTACTCCGACCCCGTGTAGGAGGCCTTTAAACCCTGAGATCCGATGTCGTGTTTTTTGTTTCAATACGGGGTCCCCAGAAGTCTCGACCCGTTCCCCAGGACCAGCTTTCCATCCCGAGTCGCTGTTGCACGGTCCCGAAGCCCAGCGAGGGCCCCTAGGGCACGAACTCTGCGGAACACCTGCGTCCTGAATCGTTCCATACGCTGGATCAGAGCCCAGAACCTCGAACCTCCCTCCCTCCCTGCTGGCCGGGACCAATGCGCCCCGCCGCCCCAGACGTATAGGTGCTCCCTCGCGGCGGGCGCAGAGCCCGAGGAGCCCCTCGGCGGCGGGGGGGGGAGGGCGGCATGGCGCGCGCCTCGCCGGAGACGGTGGCGACGAGGTCGCCCTCCGTGGCGAGCCCGTCGCAGGGGCCCCTGGACACGACGCGCGCCACCTGCAGGGCATGGGCTGTGCTGTCCTTAAGTCGGGCCTGTCCCCCTACAGGGGGATTTTCGATGAAAAATAAAAAAATACCCCAAAATTAATCCAAAACTAATCCGGGGACTATTATTTGAGTCGTTGTTTGGCCTTTTGGGGGTATTTTTGGGGTATGTGTTGTTTTTCGTCGAAGGTTCTCCTGTAGGGGGACACGCCCGACATAATGCTGTCCCCATCGTGCGCAAGGACCACATCCCAGAAGTAATCTCGAGCACCCAGAGAAGCATCGAATGTCTGCCCGCCACGCCAGGGAAAGGTCGAACAGGTATAGCCTCCCCCAGGTCCTGACACGTGAACACCCTCTCCAGTTCGGGTACGTTCCTGGTGCTCGCGATTCTGTCTGGTGTCGGGGCGGGCTTGGAATACCATGTGGGACCTGCTCTAGAACAGAAACAAGCCGTAGACGGATCTGCCACATTGTCCATAGACGTTATCCACCCCGAATGGTGTCTGTGGACCTCACGGCACCCAATGTGTCCACAGACACTGTCGGCTAGGACGTGAGAACGGTACGCATTTGGCATCGGCCCCAGATGTCGGCCTTCTAAATTTAGGAATGAAGAAACGCCCCTACCCTGGGCTAATTACCAGTCCGTGGTCAGTAAACCTCCTGGGAACTCCCACCGGCCAGAGAGCCGCCAGGACGCCGCGCGGCACGCGCGATACGCAGGGTTTACCCTGTCAGCCCACAGGAGGTTCAGCGCACAACGCCTCATAAACCAGGGTACGGTCAAAAACCCTAAGGACGCGCGGTAAGGACGCAAGACCCTTGGAAGCCGAAGTTGGGACTTCTGGGGCGGCGGACGACGAACACCTCAAGGACGCAAGAGCAAGGAAGAGCAAGGACGCGAGGGTTCCCTGCGCAAAGCCGCGCGTCCTTACTAGGGTTTTTGACTGTAGGGGCGTCTTTTACGCCCTTGACCAAAAGCAGGTCGGCTTGGCCCTCCAGGGCCGGGCACGCCCCAGGTCGAGGGAAGAGCGGCCGCGTCGGGGAGGGAGGCCTCCTCTGGCCGGGGTCCGAGGACATGGAGGGCAACGAGCGGGGAGGGGCCAGCTCTGCAGGGGGGGGACATCGACCTGGGCAGCGATCAAGCACGGGTCTTGCGCGAGGCGGCATAGCGACCTCACGCGGTGGCTTACGCGGGCCACCAGCGCGGCACGCTGCATCGGAGACGAGGGCGCTTACGCGCGATCTTACTCGGGAAGCTCACGCCCCAACGTTGGCGCAGGCGACCCCGTTTTTGTTGCGCCGCTCGCCTGGAATCGGCGATGCATCGAAACCACGGCGCGGAGAGGCCGAAGGAAGGACCGACCCGACGACGGCGACGAGGGGCCTCCGGGGAGACGAAGCGCGCGGCGGGCGGGCCGTCAGAGACGCGAAGCTCGTCGCGCGCGCAGAGCGGGGAGGAGGAGGAGGAGGAGGAGGAGGAGGAGGAGGAGGAGGAGGAGGAGGAGGAGGAGGCGGAGGAGAACGAGGAGGAGGAGGAGGAGGAGGAGGAGGAGGAGGAGGAGGAGGAGGAGGAGGGGGAGAAGGAGGAGGAGAAGGATGAACTCCACGTCCTCCCGGCTCCCCCGTCCTTTCTGTGTCAGTGGTGGTGGAAAACTGCCAGGCCTACATAGGGTAGGGGGCGCGCCAACATACATTAGCGATCCATGGATTTGGCGCGCGGTCGCCAAATCCATGGATCGGGGGAGGTGCCCTCCCCAAAATGCGGCCGGTGCCGCTTCGTTCGGCGGCGGAGATCCGCGATTTCCCACGGAAGCGGAGATCGCTAAGCCACGCCCCCTTGATCCATGTTTGCGATCGCCTGACGTAGAGCGTGGGGGGGAAGTGGTGGGCCGATTCTCCACCACCACTATCTTAGGTAGGAGAGGGGGGAGGAGGAGGAGGAGGAGGAGGAGGAGGAGGAGGAGGAGGAGGAGGAGGAGGACGAGGAAGAGAGGAGGAGGAGAAGGAGGAGGAGGAGGAGGAGGACGAGGACGAGGACGACGAGGAGGAGCGCGGCGCCCCGCAGCCTCTGCCCGCCCGCGAGAGTGGGCGGCTGGCTGCCGACGCCAGCTGGTGCAGGCCCTCCTGCGGGGCCCAGCCCTTGAGACCGCGAGGCAGCTGGCACCTTGAAAATATTCAGAAAGAGTCAACAAAATCAATAGACAAATCGTCCCCAGACTCTTTCTTGTTTGTTCGTATTTTTGGGCATTCCCCCTGTAGAGGGACAGGCCCGACCTTCAGGCATGGCGCGGGACGCACTTCCTGCAACAGCGGCACAGAGAAGGACGTCCGAAAGGTGAGAGGCGCGCGGGCAGCGGATGCCGCACCCATAAGAAGGGTTCAGTGGAGGCCAGTGCACGAGAAACCTTCGAGAGACCCAACCCTGATAATCCAGGTCGTCCATTGATTTCCACAAGAAACCTTCCACAAGAAACACAACCCCTCCTCCTCCTCCTCCCCCTCCTCCTCCTCCCCCTCCTCCTCCTCCTCCTCCCCCTCCTCCTCCTCCTCCTCTTCCTCCTCCTCCCTCCTCCTCCTCCTCTTCCCTCCTCCTCCTCCTCCTCCTCCATTCCTCCTCTTCCTCCTCCTCCCCCTCCCCCTCCCCCCCTCCCCCTCCTCCTCCTCCCACTCCCCCCTCCCCCTCCTCCTCCTCCTCCTCCTCCTCCTCCTCCTCCTCCTCCTCCTCCGCCTCCTCCACATCCTCCGCCTCGTCCTCCTCCACCTCCTCCCTGGGGACGCAGAGGGACGTACAGTGTAGGCCAATCCACAAGAAACCTTTTTCACAATAAACCCAAAACTGAGACCCCAGGACGTCCATTGATTTCTGGTGTGGGAGCGTCACACTCTTCATTGCAAAACCATGGGAACCCAAGAACCCAGGGCACCCTGGAGGCAAGCAGGGTGTTTCTTGGCATGGGTCCCCACTGTAGGCCAGGTGCGGGAGCCGGATGCGAGCGGCGAGCTGCAGGGCAAGCAGAACGATGGCCGGAAGGTGGTGGCAGGGGCCAGGTCCACGGGCCGCCATCGGACACCCAGGGTAAGGCTAGGGGCCAAAAATAAACCTCCGCCCATATGACGACAGGGAGACCAATTGAAGACCAAAACCCGGGGCAACAGGTGATCGCGATCTCCATCATGGCGCGAGCGGCGACGACAGGGTCGGCAGAATCTGGCGCTGTGACACAGAAAACAGCCACGAACTTGAGTATGCTATGGTGAAGGACGTTGGGGAGCCACTAACAGAAGGAGCATGGTGCAAAAGCCCGCCGAGGCGCGGGGGGATCGTCGAAGATCCACGAGCTGCAAGTGGGCCAGGCGGGGGTCTCGCAGCGCGGCGCAAGAAGCAGCAGGGGGGGGCTGCTGAGGCCAGCAGCAGCTGGCGGGGGGCACGGCAAAGCAACCCGGGGGGAGGGGGAAAGATAAGGCGGAAGGACGGAGCGAGGGCGCCGGAGAATGCCCACCGCGCTGACAGCACTGCCCAGGTGATGAGGGGCCCCCATCCAATGGCCCAAGGGAGGGGAGACCTGTAACAGGGCTACCAAGGAGAAAGAAAACGAAACACCGGTGAGGACCCACCGCACAGAAGGCGCTGGCGCTGCCAAGGTGATCAGGGGGCCCCAGCCCGCGGCCACAGGAGGGGCGATCAACGATAGGACAATCAGGGCGACAAGAGGCTTTGACCCCGTGCGTGGTGACTGCAGCGCAATCGGCTGGCAACGAAACGCTACCCACTGGCCTGTGTGGCAACAGGCGCCTCGGGGACGGGTGCACGGCGTGGAGAGACGAACAGGGAGCGCGCCAACGCGTGTCCAGGGCCTGCGGGCCCCGAGGTCACGCCGTCCGCTGGGTGCACCCTGCGTGCTCCCTGCGCTGCCAACCACTGCATTTGTCCAGCTCCAGGTTGACTCCGGTCTCGAGACGTCCGTGGGTGGCGCCGCGAGGTGCAGGACCGTCCAACGGCCCGCCGCCAGAGGCTTCCCGAGGGCCCCCCCCGGTGCGGCCGCCCGCAGCGCCTGCTCAAGTCGTCTTCGTCGGCCACCTGAAGCGCACGGGGAGGGGCCTGGGGCACAGGGGGGCGACGGCATCCACGTCTGCGCCCCCGGGTTGCATGAAGGACCGCTGGGAGCGTGGTCGACCAGGGCGCCGGGGCGGGCGGCGCACGGGGCGGCGCGGGCGCGGCTGTGGCCAATAAGAAGGCCCGGCGCGCCATCTTGCGTCTCCTATGCTGGGGCGCCCTCTACGGGAACGCCGTCGTCGCTCTGCAGGGGCGCGCGCGCATCGGCCTTCAGCCACTGGTCGGCTGGTAGCAGCGGCGCATTCCGCCTAGGAGGCGACTAGCGGGTCTGTCCGCGCCCCGTCGACGCCACAGGCTCCTGCCGTCTGAAGGAACACCCGAAGTGCAGAGGGCCGTTTGGTCCCCCACACGGCGCCCCCAGACAAGCAGCGCATTGTAGGGCCCCCGTGTTGCCGCTCCACCGCCCCCGCCGGCGGACGAAAGGCTGGGGGCGGCTGTCGTCCAGAGGCCGGTTGCGGGCAGCCTCGCACAGCGCGCGTTCTGCCCAGCCCACGCAGCTACAAGCGCCGAGCTCAGGCAGCTGCGCTGGCCCTGCCAGAGCCTACAGGAACGGGCAAATTTTCCACCACCGCTACCATATGTAGGACGGGGGAGAAGGGAGGATGAGCAGGTCCTCCTCCTTCTTCTCCTCCTCCTCCTCCTATCCTCCTCCTCCAACTTATGGTGGTGTTGGTGGAAAACACGCCCAGCATACAGGGACGAGGACGAACCAGGGCGACACGGGCACGGAAAGCGAACCACCGACAGAGGCAGCGTGGAGTGCCGCACCCGCCGAATAGCAGTGCCCATTCCGGGGCAGCGCGTCGCCAGCTGTCCCGTCTCCTTCCTCGGTGGCGCCGCCCCGCTGAAACCTCAACACTCCTCTCGCCCAGGGCCGTGAGGCGAGGCAATTTGGAGGGTCGGCGGCTCTCCTCCGTCAGCGCTGGCTGGTGCGGCCGGGGGGCCCAGGTGGCGCTCGCCCTCGAGCCCTGCATCGGCGACGGCGCCGTCATCCTCGGGGCGGTCCCCGCCATGCCGTGGGTGGCCGCCGCCGGCTCCCAGTGGCCAGGCGCCGCCCACATCGTCGGCGCCGCGCTGCTCTGTCGACGGAGCGCGCACCCGGGTCTGGGCGCTCCGGGTGACGCACCAGGGACTCCCGTCTCTTTCGATGGGGTCGCTCGGGCGTCAGCTGAGCTGCCAGTGCAACCAACAACCACGAAGAAAAAATACCCGAAGCATCGGTACACCAAGGCGGCAACAAACCGAAGCGTCGGCGGGATGGGACATGCGCGCGACAGCATTACCGGGGGCAAGAAGCCGAAGCATGCGTGGACTGAGGCATGCCCACGTCGTCAACGCCAGGGCGGCTGCAAACCGAAACGTCAGATTGTCGAACCATGCGCGTGCAAACAGAGCAAAGATGACACAGAGCCGATCTGGACCAACATTTCGAGGCGAGTCCAACCGCTGAGACAGGGGAGGCGCCATTCTCATCCAGGATCTCGACCTCCATCCCGTTGTCGCGGTCACAAACTTCCACGGTATCGTCGTCGTCGTCGGTAGCCCCCCCACGTCGAGTAGCGTGCCCGCCATGGCTCAACCCTGGTTCCACGTGGCGGGGAGCCGCAATCGGCGACGTAGAATATACTTCTTGTTGGCCACAGCAGCGGCAGTGGGCCCTAGGGTTCTGCCTTCCTGCTCCGCAGCGGTGGCCTCCGGCAGGTCTGGGGCCCCTGCCCCAGGAGTGGGCCGCAGGTGCGGGGAAGCAGCCCCTGCGTAGGAGCAACCCATCCGCCATCGAAGGGGGATGGTGCTCTCCGCCTTCCTCGGCACTGGGACCGCCCAGGCCGCTTTGCACCTCCGTCTTGTCGTCAGTCCTCGTCGTCCTGCTGTTCCTCCTCGTTGCTGTCGGCCTTACCCCCCGCCTCCATGTCCAGCGACATCTCGCGGTCCTCCACGATGTCCGCGGAGCGCTGATCCTTGCCCTCGACACCCTGGCTGACCGCTCCAGGTGCCTCCTCGACCACGTCGTCAGCGCCGTCCTCCACCTCACCCTCCGCGTCGTCCATCCTCCTGCCGACCGCGCCGCCCTCCCTTCTGAAGCCCTCCTCCACGTCCCCCGACAGGCGCTCGACAACAGAGAAAGGCGCCCTCGCGCCCGCCCCGCCGCCGCCGCCAACGAGCCCAAGGGGCCAGGCCGGCGCCGCAGGGGCCGCAGCCGCCGTGCGCAACGGCGGGCACGAGGCAGCCGGCCGCGCCGGCGGCGACGGCGGCGGCAGCCGAAGCGGCCTGGCCGAGGGCCGAGACTCGGGGAGACGTAAGACCCGGTTACGGGGGACTCGGAAATCCCCGACGAGGTCGTCAAAAAAATGACGAGGCCGAGCCTGCATTTTGACGAGGCCTCCCGCTGCAGACATCCCACGAAACTCCTCCTCGTCAAAATCCGAGGCGCGGTCGTCAAAAAACAGCGGCGAACCCGAGTCCCGGCAAACCCGGGTCTTACGCTCCCCCGAGAGACCGCGGCGCCGTCGGCCGCGCCCGCGGCGCCAGCCACTGCGACGCCAACCACGGCCCAGGCGGCACGGGCGGCGGCCGCCGCGGCGTCCACGGAGCCGGCGGTGGCCGCCGCAGCTTCCAAGGAGCTGGCGGCCGTCTCCGCGGCGCCCCCAGCAGTGCCAGCAGCGCCAGCAGCAGCGGCAGCAGCGGCGCCCCGGGCGCGAGCGGCAGCGACACGACGCCGCCGCCGCCGCCGCGCCGAGAGGGCCCCTGTGGCCTGCGGCAACGGCGAGGCGGGGGGCGGGCGAGGGGCAAGCCGGGAGGAGGGCACTTCGCCCCGGCCGGCCCCGCGCGGCGCGGCCGAGGGGGCCGCGGCAAAGATGGCGCGGCGAGGCCGCTATGCTGCGGCGCAGCATGGAATAGAAGCGTGCCAGCAGGAGGAAGAGGAGGAGGAGAAGGAGGAGGAGGAGGAGGAGGAGGAGAAGGAGGAGGAGGAGGAGGAGGAGGAAGGAAGGAGGAGGGGAGGAGGAGGAGGAGAGGAGGAGGAGGAGGAGGAGGAGGAGGAGGAGGAGGAGGAGGAGGAGGCAAGCGTACCACGACGACGACGACGACGACGTCCCCTACCCGCGGCGCGCCTCGGCGTCGGGCGCCGTGAGGTGCAGCTCGCGGACGGCAGCCGCTGCCGAATCAAGATTCACTCTAGGGTCGAGAAGGGTGGCAGAGGGGAGGTGGCGAAGAGAGTGATAAACGTGACATGCAATGAACACTTCCTGCAGAACACATACGGTGCAAATCGGGATCCCCCACCTGGCCAACGGGTCAGACGCGAGCCATCTATATCGCAGCACAGTTGACGCAGACATAGCAAGGCGAGGGCAACTGGCATAGTGAATCTGACGATCAGGCTCCCCCTCGCAGCCAAAAATGCAACCCCTACGACCGCCCTCGCTCAGAATACGGTGGGAGGTCAGCCAAGCTCCACTCAAGGTTCGATGCCACGACCACGCCCATGACGGAGGGACCGTACGAAGGACACCCTGGATGCTGGGCCAATCGATGGCCTTGATTTCATCAGCCCGCTCGGGCCACCACTTCAGAAGACGAGACTCGTACAACTTGCTCAAGCTGCTCTGGGGCCAGCACTGGACGCAGGCAAATTTCGCGGCCCTCTGAGGCTTCAGAACATTTTCGCGGCAGGCGGAGCTGCAGCGGCATGCATAGGACCTCCGATTCCGTGGTCAGCATCATGCAGAAATTCGACGAACGCTCGGCACTTCCAGTGCCGAGGGTACCGCTGTCCAGCTGGTACCACTGTCAGGCGGCACTCGTCAAGCTCGTTAGACATGGGCGTGTCTGTCATCGTAACGAGCCAACGATAGATTCGTTCATATTTCGTCAATGGCGATCGAGCTGTCCGAGCGAGAGTTGAAATACTCAGTACCTCAAGCGGGTAAACCTTCGGAGCGTTCCATTCCTGCAGAAAGCCCAGTCCCGAGCACGAAATGCACCGAGTGGAAGGCGGCACGCCTGGGCCAGCGCGCCTTCCTCGGCGACCTTCATAGCTGTCGGCAGCGGCAAAAACTGCATGACATAGCTGAGGGCAGCGACCGCGCGGGTCGAGTACAAGACCGCAGAGGAGGACGCAGGAGTATTGCCAGCACCTATGGCAGCAACACGGGCTCGATGTTGTTCGCGGGGAAGGTTCCAGGAATCGGTAAGCTCGGTCGCAGGGACAATCCACATCCCCAGGTAAAACAGTTTGGCTTCGATGCGGAACTCGGACCACTCAGGGATAAACATGTTCAGGAACTGTTGGACCTGGTCTCTCAGCACGGGCGTAAACGGGCCAGAGACGGGGGTCAGGACACATTTAGCGGGCTTGAGGCAGAGATGCGCAGTCATCTCCACGAGTTTCATCACCCGCCGAAGCTGCAGCAGCAAGCGGATGTCCGACAAGGCTCCACCCAAGTCGTCAGCACAGGCACGATTGATACCCTTCCGCGGGACCTCAAAACTGCGATTGAGATCGAGCAGGGCAGGCGTGAGGGCAATCGCGACAAGCGAACCAGAAAGATCACGTCCTTGGATCATCCCAGAACGAATCCAGAACGCATGAATCAGGATCCCCTTGTCCGACATCACTCCCTCGATACAGTCACACAACGTCTGGACAAACACCAGAAACCCAAGCGGACAACCCATCTTCTTCAACACCAGAACCACGAACTCTTGGGACAGGCTGGGGAACGCGTGGCCGTAATCCACGGCATATAGCATTGGACAACGGTCATCAGCCTTTGGTCGGGCAGAGTGCACACGAGCGAGGGCGTCAACCTCTAAGATGTTCTGGCAAAAGTTCCTACCCTTCATGAAACCACGTTGGTCCTGAGGAGCGAATCGAACGAGTGGTTTTCTGATCGACATGTTCATGGTGGCCGTGAGCAGTTTGATACTGGTATTTCGAAACCCAAGGACACGCACCGACGAAGCTTCTCTCTCACAGTCGCCCCCTCTCGCATCTGTGCTAGACTCTCCTTTTGGTAAAAATGCTTGCAGAGTGACACTCTCGGCGGCGGGGATGCTGTACCCAGCCATCATCCACCACAGTAAATCGTGCAACAATAAGAGGCCACTCGGGTGGGCCAGCCAAGATGCATAACACAGGCGGTCAACTCCAGGAGCTGAGTCGCTCACCGAGCGTGCCACCTTCTTCAGCATAGCGAACGACGGCGGTGGGCAGTCGGCGAAATCGACGGGGCGAACGAAGCGATCACAGTACGCATTGGCAGTTTTACACGGCCATGGCTTCCTGGAAAAGATCGGTCCCCAATGAGATGCAAGAGCAGCATGTCGATCTTGTTCCTCCTCCTTCCTGGAAAAGGTCGGTCCCCAAATGAGATGCAAGAGCAGCATGTCGATCTTGCAGGAGGAGGAGGAGGAGGAGGAGGCGGGAGGGAGGGAGGGAGGGAGGGCGGGAGGGAGTCAGGAGGGTGGAGGGGGGAGGGAGGATGGAGGAGGGACGAGACTGGGAGGGGCGCGTAAAAGCTCCGGCAGGCCCGCCTGCAGCGCGCGCCCGCCCGAAGCGGCCAGCCGGGCCAGCCACGCAGCCGAGGGGCGGGACCGCTGCGGCAGGCGGCGCAGCTTCTGCAGCTCAACGCTGACGAACGACACCTGGGGGGTAGCTTCCGCCTCCTCCTCCTCCTTCTCCTCCTTCTCGTCCTCCTCCTCCCCCATTCCTTTTCCTTCTCAATACGGTGGGGGCATTGAAGAAGGAACCCTTAGATGAGGAATCCAGGGTCTGGAAGCTGGTGGAGCACCAATTGAGGCGTGGCCACGGCTATCACCGCCGCCTTCACCAAATAAGGAATCTTCCAGGGTCTGGAGCCTCCTGGAACATTCCTTATTGAACGCCCTCACCGTAACTCCTCCCTGTGGCACCCAGAGACCAGTCGGAAGGGAGGGCTGGGCGTTTCGTCTGACACTTCCTCGCCACGCCATGTGCGATCCTGATGTTAAAAATTTGACAAAACTTCACGGACGGAAGAGGGAAGGCGGGTGATTCCAAAATGTGGCTCTCGCCTTAGCGCCGCACACATCAGATTTTGAATGTGCAGCAATTTCGCGGATTGAGGGCGGGCCGTTTTCAAATGTGGCTCTCGCCTTAGCACCGCGCACATCCGCTTTAGATAGTTGCAAGAGCCTAACGGATTGAGGGCGATTATTTTTCAACACGTGGCTCTCGCCTTAGCGCCGCGCAACGTACCAGAGATGGTGTGTTGGAACCATTCAGGATTGCCAGTGCGCAGCAGTTACGTTGAGTCGCGGTGTTGAAGTCCCAGGAACGGCGTGCTGGCACGATTCAATAATGACAAGACGTTGATTCGTGGCGTCGAAGTCCCCAGAATGGTGCTTGAGCACCCTTCAGGATTTTCAAACGGTTGTCTCTCATCGGGGCACTTCCCACATTAGAAATGAATGCTTACAGGGGACCATGAAAAAATGGAGCTTGGAGGAATGGTGCATTCCATTGCAACATCGTTGATGAGTCTTGGGTTTGCACTGGTCCTCCTTGTCCTCCTCCTCATCCTCCTCCTCCTCCTCCTCCTCCTCCGCCTCCGCTTCCGCCTCCGCCTCCGCATCCTCCTCATGTCCCCTATTATTGTTCCCCTCGTCCTCCTTTCCTCTGGCTTCGCCCCCGCATCCCCCTCGTTCTCTTCTGCCGTCTCCTCCACTCGTCATTACGTGCGGTTGCGCAAAGGCGGCGCGAGGCGGGGCAACACCGGGAAGACGGGGGAGCAACAGAACAGAGCGGGGCGGCAGCAGCGGAGGACGGGGAAGGCGGCACAAGAAGGGCTGACGGAGAGGAGGCGAACGGGGGGGCGACGGGGAGCACGAGACGAGGCAGACGACGAAACGGCACATCATATCGAGCCAGCGCCGAGATCGTGCACGCGAGGAACCTCCGCCCCCCCCCCCGCTCGGGCCGGGGCGCGCGAGGCCGACGCGCGGCCTCGGGAGGCCCCGGGGGGGGGCCGCCAGAGGCCGCCCTGCCGGCCCCCCCGGGCGGCGCCGGCGGGCCCGGACAGCCGAGGGGCGCCCCCCGGGACAGGGGAACCCCCCGGGGGGGGCCCCCCTTATGGGGCCGGGCGTGTGCACGGAGGCGCCCCCAGGGCGCCGAGAGGCCGCAGGCCCTGGGAGAGAGAAGCCTCGGCCCCCGCTCCTCGCGCCGCATGCGCTCCGCCTCGTGGCCCAGGCGCTGGGGCCAACGCTGCGGGCAGAGGCGGGCGTCGGCCTGGGCTGGGCACGTCCTCCCGCGGGCGGGCTGTGGAAGAGGAGGCGAGCAGAGTCAGAAAAGCCTCCAACATATAACCACAAGGGCGCGGGACAGCGTCCCCGGGATGGTTTTCCATATCCTTGAATCTTTCTCCTGTAGAGGGACATGCCCGACTGAAGCGTAGACGCGCATCCCCACATGGGGGCCCGGGGCAAGGGGGCCTGGCAGTGGAGCAACTGCCACGGCACGTGCCTGCCCTGTCCATGCGGGGCCAGTCGCGCAGTTCGGCGGCAGCGTGGCGGTCCCCCCCCACGGAGCCCGTGCGTACCGTGTCGCCGCGTCTGCGGTGCATGCCCAAGATGGCCTTGGCGAGAAGGCCAAAATCATTGATGTTACTACAGTGTTGGCCAAAATTTGGCCTCCTGGATGTGGGGGCGCGCTAATTGAGTACGGCCCGTCCTTTGATCGATCTCCTCCAAGATGGCCCCGAGATGGCCTCCCAGACTCCCAAGGGCACCCCAAGACGGCTCCAAGAGGTGCCCAGGAGGCCCCAAGAGGCCCCCACGATGCCCCAAAAATGCCCCCAAGAGGCTCCCAAAAGGCTCCAAAATGCCCTGCAGATACACCCAAGACGCCTCAAGAGACTCTCGGGACTGCCAGGAGTCCCCCGAGACGCCCCAAAAGGAATCTGAGAAACTCTCACAAGATATCCAAAGATTCTCCGGGAGGCACCCAACAGGCCTCTAGCCGTTCTGCTCGCCCTCCTCCTCCATTCCTTCTCTTTATATAGATACCTTTTCCCTGTCGCACCCCGAGGCCAGTTTTTGGAGCGGGCCGGGCGCTTCGACTGAGAATTTCTCACCATAAGCTCTAAGAATACTTCTGGACGCAGGTGGTCTCATGAGATTCCTCTTCCCTCTTCCACAAAGCCCCTCTTCCCCTACGGGGAGAAGTGTACCCCTCCCCCATACCCCCTCCCCTGGACTTTTTGTACGGGTTTCGCGAGGTGTCAGGACGTCCAAAACGGCCTCGGCGACAACGCCAAAATCATTGGTTACACGGAGGTTTTGGCCCCAGTTGGGCCTCTTTGGGTGGGGACTGAACGTTGCACCATCTATCCTTTGATCGATGGCCTTCAAGATGGCCCCGAGAGGCCTTCCAGGGCCCCCAACAGGGCCCCAAGAGAGCCCCAAGAGGGCCCCAAGACCTCTAAAAGAGCTCCAAGAGAGCTCCAATACCCTCCCAAAGAGCCCCAGGAGAGCTCCAAGAGGCGATCTTGAGGGCTCTTGGGAAGGGGCCAAAATCGCGGACCCCCATCTTTTGATCGACGCTCGCCTGGATGGCCCCAACAGGCCTTCCAGGGCACCAGCCACAGCACCAGCAGAGGCAGCAACAACATCAGCAGCACCACCAGCAGCAGCTCCTCTTGGGATCCCTCCGCCTCCTCCTCATCTTCCTCCTCCTCTCCCCCCGCCCCCACGCGGCCCCCAAGGATGGCCCGAAGAGGCCTTCCAAAGCCACCCCCTTGCTCCCAGATCTCTCGGTCCATTATGGTTGCTCGCTTTGTTCACCTACATCTGTCCCTTCGTCCCTTTTCCCGTCAGCTCTCGCGGGCAGGGCTTCTGAATGAGCTGGCGGGTATACTTTTTTAATCGCGAGCGACGCAGGCAGCTGCGCGCCTTCGAAGAAATCGTGAACATGCAAGCCAAGCGCAGGCAGCACGCGGAAAAGGGGGCCACGACGGTGGCGAAATTGAGGCAACGGAAGCGGCGGACAAGAACACGCGAGGGGAGCAAGAAGACGAACGAGACAAGAAAGAAGAAGAAGAACGAATGACGAAAGAGACACGGAAAAGAAGACGGGCGCGCAGGGGATCAGGCTCAGGTGACGAAGAGAACGAAGTACCTTGCCGAAGAAACAGGACTTGAAGTACAGGCTGGTGGGGATACGCGAAGCGTGACGACTTGCAAGAGCTTCACGGCTTGAGGGCGAGTCGTTTTCAAAATGTGGCTCTCGCCTTAGCGCGGCGCAGAATTGTTTGAACCGTTGCAAGAGCTTCACGGATTGAGGGCGAATGGTTTTCAAAATGTGACTCTCGCCTCAGCGCCGCGCACATTCGTTTTGAATATGTGCAAGAACTTCACGGGTTGAGACCGCTTCCTTTTCAAAATTTGGCTCTCGCCTTAGCGCCGCGCATATTCGTTTCCAAAAGTTGCAAGAGTTTCATGGCTTCTCATCATCTAAGTATCAGACATGGTGTTTTGGAAGGATTCAGGATTACGCGGGTGCAACAGTTAGGTTGGTTCCCTGTGTTGAAGTCCTAGGAATGGCGCTCTGGCACGACTCAGGATCGTCAAGACGCAACAGTCAAGTTGATCCGTGGCGTTGGAATCCCGAGAACAATGTTTTGGTATGCTTCAGGGTCTTCAAACGTGTGTCTTCCAACGAGGTAGTTCCACCAATGGGAATGAACCGCTGTAGGGGCCTACGAAGAGGGAGCCTGGAGGGATTGTTTACTCGAACATCATCGATAACTCTTGGGTTTACACTGGTCCTCCTCCTCCTCGTTATCATCATCCGCCTGTTCCTCCTCCTTCCTCCTCCCTCCTCCTCCTCCTCGCTCTCGTCATCCGCCTGTTCCTCCTCCTTCCTCCTCCCTCCTCCCCCCTCTCCCTCTCCCTCCTCCTCCTCATCTTCACCCTGCCCCACCTCTGAGTCCTCATCCATCCTCCACCTTTTGGGGTGCGACGTCTCACCCAGCCCTTCATTCCACCGCATTCTCCTTCATATCCCCGATCAGGGCAACTCGTCTGGGCATTGTTTCTGGATGGGCTGGTGGGGTTGCGCGAAGCGTCATGAATCCCAGACGTCCATCTGCTCCAATCTGTTCGATACATGGGCCCCGGAGGTCTGGACCACTTACTTCCCCAGGGCCAGTTTTTCGTCCTGAGTCCTTTTTTGACGCTCCCGAGGCCCGGCGAGGGCCCCCAGAGGCCGAAATCAGCCAAAAACCGCCCGCCCCAGTTGTGGTGTCCAAAAACGGGATAGCGAGGCGAAAGAGGCTCCTGGAAAGTCCTTCGAAGGAGCTCTGGAAACTCTGGACAGAGTTTCTTGAAAGCTTGACGGCGCACGTATTGCGGAACACGCCAAAAGCTCAAGCAGCCTGCAGCGGGGATTCCTGCCGAAGCCGAAACGAGCTCAGGGCCTACCCAGCGGTGCCAGCTTCTAATCTTAGGTCGGGCATGTCATTCTACAGGCGGAGCTTGAAGGACAAATGTTAAAGAAGTGCACCAAAAAAACAAATGCTCAAACATAGTCAAAACATCGTCTCCAAACTATATCTTCGTTATGTTTGAATGTTCCCCCTGTAGAGGGACATGCCCGACTTAATTCTAATCT